GCACATGGTGGACACTGACTTTAAGAAGTCTCGTCGTTTCCTGAACGGGCTGCAGAGGTACCTTCGCTTTGTGCTGAGTAGCCATGGGTCTCTGACCTATGCAGAGACCATTCTGAGAGCTCAGCAGATAGCGGCTAGTCAGCGTCTGGAGTTAGACGCAGCTCAGCAGACAGTGGCTCAGCCCAGGATGATCCAGCCAGTTTCTGTGCAGCCACCCTCGTTTCAGCCAGTCCAGGTGCAGCCAGCCGTTTATCAGCTGTCTTCTGCCCAGCCGTCTGGTAGTGGCGGTAAGAGAATGTTTGAAGGCAAGAAGAAGAACCAGCAGAACAAGAAGGGAGGAAATGGTGGACGAGGTGACCGTCAGCCAGCACAGCAGACTCCGAGAGCTCGGCCACCCTGTGGCAACTGCGGCCGGACTCACGGGGGACAGTGCTTAGCTGGTCAGAGGATTTGCTACTACTGCAGGAAGGAGGGACACATGGCCTTTGATTGCCCGGAGAGAGGCCAGGGGCAGCAGCAGCCCCAACAGCAACCTCAGCAGCAGTTTCAGCAGCAGGCCCAGATCCAGGGAGGAGGAGGGAGAGCCCGTGTGTTTGCCCTGAACCAGCGTGAGGCAGATGCGAACCAAGGTACTATGTCTGGGATGCTTCATATATGTGATGTGCCTGTGTTTGCTTTATGTGATACCGGGGCAACCCACTCTTTTATCTCCAAGAGTTGTGTTGAGGCAGTCGGGATTGAGGGAGTTAGTGCTGTTGATGCTCTCGAGGTTAGCTTGGCCTCGGGAAAGTCAATAGTTACTTATTCTCTCATTAAGGGGCTGAGTCTTAGTATAGGCGGGAGATCATTGACTGTCGATGCTTACGTGATCGAGATGCGTGACTTCGACGTGATACTTGGGATGGATTGGCTGAGCAGATACCGAGCAGACATTCGTTGCCTCGACCGAGAGGTGACACTTCATCTTGGAGGAGGCGAAACCATACTTTCTATGGGGTAAGATCGAGGACAGTTCCGAGGGTTATCTCTACTTTGAGAGCTATGAAGAGCCTTAAAAAGGAGGGTAGCCATGGTTATCTAGTGAGCATTGTTGTGAGCGAGACCCAGAAGTTGACTCCAGATGGAGTTCCTATTGTGCGTGAGTATCTGGAGGTGTTTCCGGACGAGCTACCAGGAGGACCACCAGACAGACAGGTCGAGTTCTCGATTGACTTGATTCCGGGAGCGGGCCCTGTGTCGAAGGCACCTTACCGTATGGCTCCGAAGGAGCTGCAGGAGCTGAAGACACAGATTCAGGAGCTGTTAAAGCTCGATTTTGTGCGACCGAGTGTTTCACCGTGGGGTGCACCAGTCCTTTTTGTGAAGAAGAAGGATGGGTCGATGAGGATGTGCATCGACTACCGAGAACTCAACCGACTCACTGTGAAGAACAAGTACCCATTGCCCAGGATCGAGGACCTGTTTGATCAGTTGAGGGGTGCCAGCGTATTCTCGAAGATAGATTTGAGGTCTGGCTACCATCAGCTAAAGATAAAGGAGTCCGATGTTTCTAAGACCGCGTTTCGAACTTGGTATGGCCATTACGAGTTTGTGGTCATGCCCTTCAGATTGAGCAATGCCCCAGCCGTCTTCATGGACCTCATGAATCGAGTGTTCCACCCCTACCTTGATCGGTTTGTCATTGTCTTTATTGATGACATTTTGATATATTCTCGAGACGAAGAGCAGCACGAGCAGCATCTGCGTACAGTTCTAGAGACACTTCGTCGAGAGCGGCTGTATGCCAAGTTTTCGAAGTGTGAGTTCTGGTTGGACCGAGTTGCCTTTCTCGGACACATTGTCACCGCTAAGGGGATAGAGGTTGATCCGAGCAAGATTGAGGCGGTGAGTAACTGGGAGGTTCCAAGGAATGCAAGTGATATTCGCAGTTTCTTGGGGCTAGCTGGCTATTACCGTCGCTTTATAGAGGGCTTCTCAAAAATAGTTCAACCATTGACCCAGCTGACTAAGAAGTCAACCAGATTTGTGTGGAGTCCCCAGTGTGAGGCGAGCTTCCAGGAGTTGAAGACGAGGCTCACTACTGCACCGGTATTGACCATACCCGACCCGACTTTGGAGTTCACTATCTTCAGTGACGCTTCGAAGATGGGCTTGGGTTGTGTGTTAATGCAGCAGGGGAAGGTTGTGGCTTATGCTTCGAGGCAGTTGAAGCCTCATGAACTGAACTATCCTACCCACGACCTAGAGTTAGCAGCTGTGGTTCACGCATTGAAGATTTGGAGGCATTACCTTTACGGAGGGAAGTGCGAGATTTTCACGGACCACAAGAGTCTGAGGTATCTCTTCACGCAGAAGGAGTTGAACATGAGACAGAGGAGGTGGCTGGAGCTCGTCAAAGACTACGATTGCACGATTAGCTACCATCCCGGGAAAGCTAACGTGGTCGCAGATGCCCTTAGTCGGAAAGGTCGTGGTGAGTTAGCCTGTATCCTAACCCAGCAGGATGAGTTGGTTAGAGAGTTCGAGCGGCTAGAGTTGGAGGAGGTGGAGCTGACTTCTGGAGCCAGTGGTACTGTAGCAGCACTGGTTGTGGGACCGACTCTACGAGAGAAGATAGTAGCCGCTCAGCCGAGTGATCGTTTTCTTTGTCGGATGCGAGAGTTGTCTCGGGCCGGCAAGATAGGAGGATTTGCAGAGACACCTGAAGGAGCATTGGTCTTCGAGCAGAGACTATGTGTACCGAAGGTGTTAGAAATTCGGAGGGGGATTCTCGAGGAGGCACACAATGCCCCGTATACCGTCCATCCAGGTAGCACAAAGATGTACCAGGACCTTAAGAGGTATTTTTGGTGGAGAGGATTGAAGAGAGATGTGGCGAAGTACGTGGACAGATGTTTAGTGTGTCAAAGGGTCAAAGCCGAGCATCAGAAGCCAGCCGGCTTGACTAAGTCGCTTGAGATCCCTATGTGGAAGTGGGAGGACATCACGATGGATTTCGTGGTGGGATTGCCGAGGACTCGAGAGGGGCATGATGCCATTTGGGTTGTGGTCGATACTTTGACCAAATGTGCCCATTTTCTGCCCGTGCATATGAAGATGTCTATGGAGAAGTTCGCCAAACTCTACATAGATGAGATTGTCCGACTCCATGGGGTGCCCGTTTCGATCGTTTCTGACCGAGACACACGGTTCACCTCGCAGTTTTGGAGGAGCTTGCATCAGGCTATGGGGACAGGGTTGAAATTCAGTACAGCCTATCACCCTCAGACAGACGGACAGTCAGAGCGCACGATCCGGACATTAGAGGACCTTCTGAGGGCGTGCATTCTGGATCGAGGAGGTTCATGGGAGGATTCATTGACATTAGTCGAGTTTGCCTACAACAACAGTTATCAGGCATCGATTGGCATGTCACCGTATGAGGCTTTTGTACGGAAGGAAGTGTCGTGTACCCTTGTATTGGGATGAGGTTGGCGAGAGGAAGGTACTTGGGCCAGAGATTATTAAGAAGACAGCAGCTCAGGTAGATGAGATCCGAGTGAGGATCAGGGCAGCCCAAGAACGACAGAGATTCTATGCCAGGAAGAAGAGGAGGGAACAACAGTTCGAGGTTGGCGACAAGGTCTTCTTGAAGGTCTCACCAGCGAAAGGTGTAGTCCGTTTCGGGAAGAGAGGAAAGTTGCAGCCTCGTTATGTGGGACCCTTCGAGATACTCAACCGAGTCGGAGACTTAGCCTATCGATTGGCTCTTCCTCCAGAGTTCGCGGGAGTGCACAACGTGTTCCACGTCTCTATGTTGAGGAGATATGTGTACGACCCCGAGCATGTAGTAGACTTCGACGGGCTTCAGGTTGGAGAGGATCTGACTTATGAGGAGGTCCCGCTAGCCGTTCTGGATCGAAAGGTCCATCAGTTGAGGAATCGAGAGGTGTCGCTCGTCAAAGTCCAGTGGAGCCGCCATGGCGAGGACGAGGCGACTTGGGAGAGAGAGGACGAGATCCGGAAGAAGTATCCAGAGTTTATGTTTTGAGTTCGTCCTTTGTATTAGTATTTGGAGTTTATTTCATTTTAGTAGTTTTGAGTTGTATTTCCGGGGACGGAAATTATTTAAGGAGGGTAGAATGTAATGCCCCGATTTTATTCAGTAGACATCTCGAATTATTATTATTCATTATGCATTTTTATTGCATTTTATTTTATTAGCTCGACCTATAAATTTGATTAATTAGACGAGAGTGTCTATTTTAATCATTTGAG